ATTCATTATCTTTACAATTTATTTATTTATTTTTTGCAAAATATTGCTTCACTTCAAAGACATTTCCAACTTACATAATAGAATTCCCTAGCGTTGAAAGTTCTGTTGTCGTTTGTTCTGCGAAGTCATAAATTTTACTTTTCATCCACGATTACAACGTCAAATATAATTGCTTGCATACATGCAAGCCATATTCTCGTACGCATTCTTTGCGTTATTTGAGTACAAATACTATTACGAGTTAATTGCATCCGAATGCGTTCATTTGAAAGAAATAATGCGATACAAATTCTAGAAGAAAGTTGCATCGCAGAATTTGCATTCATTGATCTGAACCCATCGAACAGATTTTATGTGCCAATGAAGAGGGGTCGTCGATTCAGAACTGAAATGAAATGTGAATAATTCAACTATGCCGGCGAGGAATTATGATGTTACTAAAAATTGTGTGATGCATTTTATACGAATATTTCACTTAATATCAACTATATAATACGTTTCCTATGTCACAAAAGTTTTTACGACAAACGAATTGTTCATCGTTTGAATTGTTTGCCAATTGTGGAAATTCCTCCAACTTCCTAGANAACTATATAATACGTTTCCTATGTCACAAAAGTTTTTACGACAAACGAATTGTTCATCGCTTGAATTGTTTGCCAATCGTGGAAATTCCTCCAACTTCCTAGAGTTTTTTTTCTTTTCTCTTGCAACAATGTATTGAGAATTTTCCGATCTTAAAGAAATTTTGGAAATTTCAAAAGTTATGCGAACATTTTCGTCTGGTTTCCAGATGTGAAGCAGCCGTAAATCACGGACGTGATTATAAGAGACCGGTAAGGGCGAGTGCACCAATTGATCATAAATATTTTACTTGATCTGTAATTTGAGCGTAACACAGCGCCAATTGCATATGCATTTATTTGCTACAGCGTTTTTTTTTTTGGTGTTTACGTTTCAACCACCAAATTCGTTTGATATATTGAAGTTGAGTGGTTTGAAGACGTTTTGGTTGAGCTTAAACGACGAATTGGCCTCAATTTATAGGCACGCATTGCCCTATCATAAATCCATAACAAATGTGCTTGCTGCTGTGCAATTTGCATTCTCAAATCGCACGGTCAACACCAACTCTTGACATCAATCTTCGACATTAAAGTACGAAATATGTTGAAAAATTCAGATTCGGTTTATGAAATCTTCTCAATATGTTATTTGTGGAAAAATTCAGATTCATGTCGTCGTAGGCCTTCAGTTCTTGATTACTCTCTTAAATGCGACAATCATACTAATTAGTGGTTATCACGCACACCACTCAGACATCGTTAATCTGCACCCGCAAATCACAGCACCAATCTCTCAATTTTGTGCAACCATGTAACAGAGCTTGATGCCTAGTTTGCCGAAAGTTCGTGTGTTTTGAGACGAATATTTCATCTGTTGCAGTCACATCTGAATGTGGTAATCACTATTCAATAGCTTCGATCTTAAAAGATCAACTGTGCATTATATCCGTTCAGTGCCGTGCTCATTTGATCTGTTCATTCAGCTTCTTCCAGTAGACTGACACAATTGATATCTCGTAAAGATAATCAGAGGTAATTGTCAGTCAACTGGAAAAAGCTGAATGTACAGATGGAAGATCGTAGACTGATAATTAATCACCTCTGAACATGGATTATCTCATGGTTCGCGAATCAGAGGACACAGAACAACTCCTTTTTTCATAGATACACCTTCAAAAAATGTGTAGTTTTAAATTGCTGAGAGAACTGCTCAAGACAAGATATAAGCCTCCTATCATCACTAGTTAATGTTTGATTGCAGATTATCTGAGCACATTCCTTTTTTTTGAAACAATCATTGTTCTCCAAGTGATACCCAACTCTGATAACGCTTCTTGATCGATATAAACACCACTTGAAGATGTTTTCTACGTTATTTCGGTGTTATCAGTGCTTGAAATTGAGGTCATTGAAAAATTCTGTTGTATAAAGTAATGCCTACTTGGAGAGTAATCCATCAACCGCATTGTTTGCGTTTTCTGCTTAAGCCATGCTTACGATTGAGAGGAACTAACAAAATGCTTAAACGCGATATATCAAGTTCGATTTCAATTGTGTTTTGAATTATGAATGTAATTGCAGCAATTTCGGCGTGTTTCATGTTGTCTTTTTTTCCGAAACGAAAAATTCAAAAAATTTTCAAAACTTTTCACTTTTTCAGTTTCATTTCTTCTTTTTTCTCTTCGGTTTACGTCATGAATACTCGTTGATGTTATTCATTTATTCGATCGTTTTATATGAGCGACGTCACCATTCTTGTCTTCTTGCATTGTTTGCAAGTTCCAAAGTTATCACTTAAAATAGCCATCCGGAAGGTTGCTTATCTCTGTCGTGTCGTCACATTCTCTTTTTGATTGAGCCTTTCAACACCACCCATCGAAATAATCTTTCGAAAAGAACTTTTTCAAGCCTTCTAACCGAACAAAACATTTCGCCTACACAATNTTGGTGATATTCTCACGAAACTATTCAATCGTTCCCTCATGAAAGAGCACTAAAAAACAGTTTAAATGTTCTGGTGAATGTTTGCGATAGCATGTAATTCAAGCAGCGTTTCGTATTGTTTGTGATACATTCTCAAGCACTCTGAAGGGCATTTCAATTTGTCGTGAACCACTTTCTTCTGAATGTTTCAGATCATTGCATTGCACTTTATTGCTGCTTTTGTGATGCTGATATTCCATCATAGGTGGGTGTATATTTGATGTGCAATTATAGCTGAGGTTATCTTAAGAAATTCTTTTCTATTACCTAGAATTGATGGGAAAACATGTACAATCAGAAAGTGATCATGATTGATAAAAGATAAACATGAGGCTAGATAAGTGATTAAAGCTAAGACTGATCTGTTCTGATATTGATCAGGATCGTTTATAATTGTTCATTGGTTGATCACTGTTTATTCATTCTATGCTCATCAGTTCCGTTGAGGAGTTAGTTATACAACTTGATAGGAATGTATGAGTGCGATTGCGTTCCTGTTATCACCATTACGTTGATCGGTTTGGAGTTGTCTGTATAATTTTTCAAGTGATTATTCATGTAATAAAATGTTGACAATTCAAGGAACGCAACGATGAGAATATTACTCATGGAAAGTGTATAACGAACGCAAATAGCATGCATCATCGCCATAATCACACTGATAACAGTTTCTATCGACAACCACAACAACGAGACAAACAGCAGCATCACACTCCACTTATGCCCACAAATTCGGTAGCGATATCCGAAGGCAGCAATCAGTCGCATAAACCGAACAAAGGCATGCGTGACCGGGCATGGTCGAGAAGTTTAAATGATCTCTACGAGCCACAGTTCCATTTGAAACCCTTCGAAGATGGTGCTAAACGTCCATCGCAAAAATTTGAGTGAGTTTAACATTTTGAAATTCGTTGAAAATTATGATTGATTTTGATTGCATATCTCTGAAATAAGACTGTGCCAGATTATGTGTATATTCTCGTGCTAATGGTCTCATTTGATAGATTCATTGATATATGTGTATTTGTCAGATAGTTCACAATGGATTGAAGGAAAGTTTTAGAACTGATAGAAATGTATTGGGAGATCAATGTTGCGTTGTATTCATTATTATGATTTCACTGTGTGTTCGTGTTTGATTCATTCTTATCAAGCGAATTCTTAACAAGTATGCGTGATTCAATTCATTATTGGGGGTTGAAGTCATCAATTCAATTTTGACTCATCAAAGTTGGGTGACGCTTTAGGTGATGAGAATTTGACTTGAGTGAATCATATTGAATCACTGAACACACCGAACTTCTGGTACTGAATACTGACGACAATAAGTCAACAATGCTGAATGATGAATGCGAAATTGATTGAATGTTCATAAAAATTGTTTGACAAGCGCTATCCACTAAGCAATTTTCCGAAACTGAATAATTAATGAATTACAGCAAATATACGAAATATTTTTATCATTCGCATTTCGCATCATTTCCATTCGTAAATCAGAAAAAGATCGTTGAAATTCGTTAGTTCTCTTGACTAACGTCCGCCACCTTGCACTGATCAGCAGTATTGTAGGGTGAACCAGAGAACTCAGTGTGAATCACCTGGAAAACTTTTCAAAGTCAAAATTCATGAGAGCGTTTGGAATCGCTCAAGAAAGAGTTTTACGCGTCATGATCGATTAATGAAAAAAGAAAACGACATTTTTTTCGTGTAGCAATTTCTTGAAGATTGAATGGTGTTCAAAAGAGAACAAACCGCTGACGTATTTTCGTGGTATCCGTTCTCTTAAAAAAATGAAGAACGATTTACTCATTGCTTAACGATCTGTATGCATTGTGATAGTGAGGAGTGCATTTTAAAATGCAGCAGTTCAATCCAACGATAAGAAATATAATCGGTTCAATCAATCGTTTCAATCCGCTCATACGCTGTGAATCATAAATCACATTTAAACGAGTTTGATGAATTACTTCAAGTCGGATACCACTGTGTGCCAGAATCTTTCTTTTTTTGTGCAGCGTTTGCTTAAGATCTACCGCCGCCTTAAGATCGAAGATTCTTGTCAAGCTGAGTTACGATCAGTTCCACTTATAATCCAACAATGAGATATCATCATCACGAGAAAATCATCAATCGGAAATTCGTTTCAGCCTCAGGATAAAAGCCACAGTAGCGTATATCCGAAGCAAGATAAAATCTGGTGAAAACGCTCGTTCATCACCATCAAAAGTGGACGCACTCGAATGGCAACAATCCTTTCAGAATTTACTCCAAAATAAACGTTGGCCATTTATATGATCGTAACCAAATTATTCGAGTTTTTCTTCAAATATCAAGATGGAATTGAAAAAATTGAATTGATCTAATGAATGACTTGAAGTTTTTTCGAAAAAAATAGACATTACGATCGGAGAAATGACATCGGAGGTAGACGGATTAAGATGTGTAATGGGATAAGATGAATCATCCAACAGTACATACAAATATTCCATTTCATCATGCATGTGTCATATCCGTATACATCTATCCTATCCTATACATAAACAGTAAAAATACTAAGCGAAAGGTTGACCCATGTGCCATTTTCCTTTCTGGAATGAAACGAAACGAATTGCAATAAATACAACAAATTGGTTTCTTTTTGTTGCAGTTGGTCGTCAATTATTTCGAATGTTTTTGGTGCATGAGTTCAGTGAGGAGAATATCGACTTTTGGACTGAATGTGAGGAATATTCGAAGATGAAAGCCGGCAAAAAACAAACGGAACAACGCGCCCGAGATATTTACAATAAGTATTTGGCCGTTCAAGCATGGCGAGAAGTTAGTTAGTTGTTGGTTTCATTCGCATCATTCATTTGCGCTGTTCCTGTTTTGCTGCTTCCATACACATGCGTTTTGGAAGATTTCTTAGCCAAACGGATTGTATGGACTGCCCGGGCGCTCGTTTCTTTTGCTGCATATATCTGATCTGTTTGGATGATCAGTGCTGTTCGTCTCTCATCATTAAAGGAGGAACTAAAAGATCACGTGATTAAAGTGATCATATGAAAATGTGATCACATGAAAATCCGCTCAAACATTATGGATATGTTCAACTGTAAGCACAGAAAGCAGTCATGCTAAGCATTTGCCCACTGGCAAAGCTGCGAAATACTACTGGTTTCTTCGCAGAAATCTTTGTGATGATATTATCCTTCGAAACGATGTCGTATCGAAATGAATGATTAATGAAATTCGAGAAATGCTGACAGCAGAACGTCCTCACAAAAATCCACCTTCCTGAGGTTTACGATGAGATTTCAGGTGAATTTAGATACGATCACTCGTATGAAGACAAAAGCAGCAATTGGTGAAGGTGCAGGGCCGGAAACCTTTCTGGTGGCACAAAAGAAAATCGAATGTTTGATGGAGAAGGATAGTTATCGACGTTTTCTGAAATCGAAACTCTTTACGGATATTTTTGTGGAAACCGATAAATGCTCTCCAACGAATAGCGTCTCGAAATGTGAAATTGCCGGCGATTTATAGTTGAGTTGATGTGTGAATTTCCTCAGAAGCGTTCATTTCGTTCCGATTGATGTGAATCTTCGAGTAGTCCGAACTCTGTGCTCCCGTCCAAATGTCTGAACATTTCTTCATCGTCAATATTCCACTTGAAGATGGCTATAATAGTAGAGTCATGAAACGGGTAATCCAACTCAAATCAATCGTTTCTAAACAGCTATTTGCTGTTCAGCTCAAGTTGACTGAAGCTTAACTCGGCATCGAACTCAGACTTTTGTGAGACTCAACTAGATTGGATTCAAGTCGTCGTAGGAGCTGTAGGGGTTTCGGTTAAGGTGCTTTTTTGTGCGTATCTTCATTGAAACAGTTCATTGAAACGTAGAAATGTGATGAGCAAAGTACTGAATGCTTATCAAGTAACGGAAATTGCCTTTGACGTGTTCGGCCGATAAGCTCTCAGCACATTTTCCGATTGCGTACACAGACCTTCGCACTGCTACGCTCTGTTCAGAAGGGCAGCTTGTCACCACTATCGTTGTCAGTCGATATTGTTGTCAGTATTGTTATCACGCTGATATATACACATATATGTAAACAGTACATCACACCATCCATCATAATCAAGAGCTGAGATCACATGTTTCTGATGGATACCGTCCACCTGATGATGCTTTCTTAAGTCATCCCATTGATTATTCAGCTCAATTGCGAGCTGATAAATTTGGATTTATTAGACTAAACTCACAACTAACCAAAGCATATTCCGGAAATCCGGGAACGTATTAGCCCAGCTGGATCTTTCCAGTGGTTAAGCAAGCAGTAAACCAAGTTCCTAACTGCAGTTAGCAACTTTTATTGAACAACAGTATTGTGCACATTTTGCGATAGAAACCATGCGAATATTGTTGTTGTCTTATCAATGCTGCCTTGTCAAAACAGATGATTTCCGTATGAAATCCACGGAGGAACACAATGCTGGATTGCTTGCTCTCCACACTCATACTTCTCTACATAATTTTTTGTTTATTTGAGAGAATACTTATCTGATTTTGCTTGATACTTAATTGTACATACAATGCAATGATGTGAATGATCTATACCTTACGTTTTGTTTCTTTGAATTTCTCTTCGCAGATGAAAATTTTGAAATATTCGTGAATGAATTCAAGACAAGTTCATCGTTTAGTAGTTTTCACATTGCAAATACTTTTTCAGAGTTGAATTCGAGTAATATCACTTTAAAAAAACGTTCGGTTACAGCGAATATTGTTGCCTTATTAAGCGAAGTGATGCTTCTCGAAGTGAGACTTGATGAAAGTTAACTTTTTACTATTTGATCGATGATCAGTGCATATGGTGATGACATTCGTCGATGGATGATGTGGAGTAAATCTGTGAAAGAGACAAATTTTCGAGAAATCTGAAATTTGAAATACTTCTCAAATATTAGGAGAATTAAGAAAACTTTCAGGTTCAAAATAATTTTATTAACAAACAAAACATTACATTATGGATTGATCGTTATAAGAAAAGAATCGAATTATATTTCATATGAATTATCATTATTACTATTATTTCATTCATTATTAATACTGATAATGGTACTTAATTAATGATCATCAAATGAGTTTGNCGTTAGCAAAAGAAACGAAACAAATCAAATCAACGCTAACATGAAAAGACAAGAAAACAGTGCTACTGTTCCACTGATTATAATATGTACAATTAAATGCATGACTGCGATTTTGTATTGAAGCAATGAAATCCGATGCGATTCTGAGGAATTTTAACGAAACGGAACTTCAACTGGAGTCTATGGGGAAGGAATCGATGGAAAATACGATAATGAGGCTTTTTGAATGGGATTAACTCAGTGCTTCGACTGATCAAAACGGAGGAAAAAGAACAAAAAATTAAATTCCGGGAATGAAAAACTAATCTCTTTCTATTCCTTTGCATTATTTTCACTGAGCTCAAATTGAATTGGTGATATTCTCTTTGAATTATCCAATTGCTCGATTTGACTAATACGAAAAGGCTGCGAAAAAAAAAACACCACGGAAGTATATCGGTTTTCGAGCAACAATACTTAGTTAGTTAATGGTCATAAGTCACACGAATCTAACAACAACAATTTCATTGTATCAAGTGAAAAANAACAACTGACATTTTGAGAAAACAACTTAACAATTGAACCAAAAAATTACCAAAATTACCAAAAAATCAATGGTCGTCATTACAGTGAAACTGGATCCAATACGATAGTGAAGTAAGAATGAACAATTTGCGAACGTGATCAGCACGAAAATTAATTAGTGAGAAAATAGCATCGATTAAAAAAGGAATTCGCCCAATTCTCAACAAAAAATCAAGTTATGACGGGTTTGAAATTCGAGAAAAAAAGAAAAGGAATCATATTCAGCGAAACAACACGGGAGATGTTCGTCGAGAAAAGCAATGAAAATTCTTTGTACAATGGCGATTATGACGATATCTCTTATACCTAAGCAAAATGGCTAATTCATGGTGGATATACGTGTGCCGATCCAATAAACTTGCAAAAAAATGCGATAAGTCCGAAACAGAGCTGTTTATAGTTCTATCGGAAAGAAATTTGAAGTCAAATGAACTACGCACGTAGAACAAAATGCTTCAATCGAACGGCTTATCGTCGTCGTCGTCGTCATATTTCAAGTTTTGCTTAGTGGTGAAATGAAATGATGAAATATTTGTGCTTCAGGCATAGATTATATCATCACAACAATTATGAATAATCAGTTGAGTGCGTCAAACAACTGAATCGTCGAATGTTATAATATATGTTATGAAAATGTGGCACATAAGAGTTGCACAGCACTCTCCATCGAGGTGCGTGTTTGATAAATTTTTCTGTGAAGGAACGCAACAATACTCAAGAATCAGTTCATTTAATGTGGAC